GGGTGTCGGCGCGGATGCGCGCTGGCCGCCGCGTGCGCGGTCTCCGCGCTACCCCGGGCGCAGGCGTCGGGGGGTCGAAATGCAGGGCAGCGCGGGAGTGGACGATTGGCCTTGGGCTGGTGCCAGCGGCGATGCCGTGCAAGACGATGCAGGGAGCCTTCCTTGTCCGAAGCGCTGCTGAATGCCGCGGTGCGCGCCCGCCCTGTCCGCGTCGGCGCGCTATTTTCGCGCTGGCGCCGCGGGCCGCTCTGGGTCAGTGGCGTTGGCAGTGTTTGCAAAGTGCTATTTCCGACAGGTTCGGTCGCGGCGCAGTGTGGTATTTTGGCCGCGTAGGAGTTTCAAGGTGGTAGGAGTGGAACTTCAAGGTGGTAGGAGTGTATATGAGGGCGTGCCGTGTGTGCATTCGTGTGTTCTCTGCGGAGTCCGTGGTGGCATTCGAATTGCGAGCGGGGCGGTGCGCTGCGTGGGTGCTGGGCGACGGAGATGGGGTTGGCGTGGGGTCGCTGTCTTGGCTCGACAGCGGTCGCGCCTGCGCTGTGCACGGGGATGCAGGGGTGGATGTTGGGGAGTGGGGAACGGACGAGACCGTGCTGTGGTGCCGCGTCGTCGCGCGCGGGAAGTCGGGGTTTCGGTCCAGGTCTTCGCAAGCAGCGGCGCCCCGCGGCAGGGCGCCGAAGCGGCGCGCGGCGTCGCTGGGTGGGCAGGAAGCTCGCGGCAGCAGCTGGAGCGTGCGCGACGGAGTGGACGCGGATCAGCTGGCACGTATGAGTTTTCCCGGAATAGGGGTGTTGGCCACGCGATTGCGAAGCGAGGGGGCCCTGCCGTGCCCTCGTCACGTCGCTGGGCTGGTGGGAAGCGAGTGCGGGTGAATCCAGAGACTTGCCGGAGCTCGCTCGCGGCGCACCTGGGCATCGACATGGGCGGCGTCGGCCATTCTAGTGCGGCGGCCCGATCGTGGGCTCACGCGGGAAATATGCTGCGCCTGCGCTGGGGAAGTGGGTGCACCGTGTCAGCGCTGGTGAGACTGAGTTGACGCCCCAGCGGCGCGCGCGGTTCGACGTGCTTGTGGGCCGCCAGGAGGAGCGGAACGCCAGAGCGCTCGCGCTGCCAGACCGCACCGAGGAGCAAATGGAGGTGCTCGACGAGTTGCCGAAGCGGGGTGCGAAGGACGAGGGCGAGACTGAGCTGGTGGGATGGGACCACAACGTCAGCATTGGCTAGCACGTGCTGAGCGAGAGATTCGCGCAGGGCGCCGCCGCGCGTCGTAACGCGCGCGACGGGGGCGAGCCAGCGCGGCGGCTGGAGGAGAAGTGCCAGGAGCAGCTCCACATCGCAGCTGCTCAGGAGGAGCCTGGGAACGAGTCTATGGCGGCGCGGGAGGTCGGTGTTCGTGAAGAATAGGAGGACGCGGAAGCTCTGGCGTGAGACTGCGTTGCCGAGGAGCGGCGCGCCGAGGTCTCGCGGGAGCTTTTCGCGCTGTCCGTGCTGGGCGGCAGAGCGGACCGAGAGGCCTCGCTGGCCGAAGGCTGCGCGACGCGGGTTGTTCCACAGGGGCGAGTCCCAGTGTCGCCAGTGTGATGCGACACTATTTGTCACATTCGGCCTCGCTGCCTTGGGTGCAGCGGAGGTCCCGACCTGTGCCAAGGATGGGTTGCTCGGGGAACGCTTGGATGTGGGGCGGCGCATCTTTGGGATATTTGCGCGGCGTGTGGGTATTGCGAGCTTTGCAAGTTCTTTGCTCGGGTTCCGCAGAGATCCAGAACATGTTCGAAGTGGTCCCACAGGAGGTATGTACTAGTCGGGACGACGCCGTCGACTTGCGGACATTGCTCTGGTGCCAGGTCCGACACGTCGCGCGCGTTGACGGCGCGTGCTCGCGTAATGCGCATCTCTTCGATGCAGAATGGGTCGCGCTGGACGCGTGTCGTGGAAGGGCAGCCGCGTGCGTGTTCTGGGATCGCCTGCCGCCTGTGTTATTCGTCACCGTGAAACGTGCGCACAGGGGGCGCGACCCGGCCCATCAAAGGCACAACGGGCGGCGCAGTGTTTTCCCACAGACTATGACGTCTGGTGGGGGAGGGTGCGAGTGCGAGTTTTCCGGGCGCGGCCGTCCGTGCGTAGCGGGCATTGCGTTGCGTTCGGCGTGGTTGGCGACAAGCAGTGCGCGTGCTTCGACGACGGCAGAGCCTCACTTCTGTCCTGGGTGGATCTTAAATTTTGCCAACAGTTTCAACGCGCAGCGCGCGTGCTTGCGTGTGTTCGCTTGGCGGGTGCGCGGACCGGTAAGGTTGGGCGCGCAGGCGGCGGCCCTGCTCCACGGGCCTCTGGCGCGTCGCCTGCGCCGCGGGGCGCCCCGGCGGGCGCGGGCGGCGGCGCTCCTCCCCGTGATTCTGGCCCGCCGCGCGGCCCGCGCAGCGCGGCGGGCGGGGGTGCGTCTTCGGAGGGCGAGCCCGACACTGGCGCCGTGTCTTCTTCGCTGGGACAGCCGTGGCCGCCTTTGCGCAAGCGCAGGGCGTCTCTGCTGGCTGCAGCTGTAGCCAACGGTGGCGACGTTCGCGCGGAAGCGGGCGTTTCGCCCGAGGAGCAGGCGTCTGGTGGAATCGATTCGCGCGCTTGGGTGTCGCGCGCGGAGCCGCAGTGGCGGCGATTCGCGCCAGCCAGGGGCGATCCCTCGAAGTGTTGGGCTCGTGCTTGGGGGCAAGGTGCTGGCGCGCAGTGCGGCTTTGCGCCCCTTGCGGGCCGCGAGGGGTTGCGTGGGGGAAATTAGACGCGGCGGGGGGGCCCTGGCTGGCGCAGGCGAGTGGGCGGGCCCGATCCAGAGGGCGGCTGCTCGCGCGGTTCCGCGCGGCCCGCCTGGGGCCGACGCGCGCTCCAGTGCGTCGGGGGCGCCGCTCCGAGCAGAGATTGCAGGTGTCGGCGACGGCGGTCGGGGGGCTGAAGAGCAGCAGGTAGCGCCAGCGGCGCGTGCTGGCGAGGGCGCGGGAGTGCCTGCCCTCGGCGCCGCCGCGCCGGCGGCGGCCCGGGCTCCGTCGGAGCGCGGGCTCTGCGCGGCGCGCTAGCGCGGGCAAAATGGCCATCGCCTCCGCGAGGCGCGCGCTTCAAGAGGGTCCGTCGGAGAGGCAGGCGCGTCTGGATATGGCTGACCATTGCTGGCTGGGGAAGCTGCGTGGCTGCGTCAGGAGTCGGCTGCGAGCGACGAGGGGCCCGCCTCCATGAACCTGAACATGTTGGCCGAGCATCAGCTGCAGCTGATGTGCGATCACCCGCTGCCCGCCGCCTTCGGGGCAGCACCTGCCGCCCTCTGGGGCACCGAATGTCAGAAACACATGAATCTACTCGTGGAGGAGCAGTTATGTTGGGACCACATTTGATAAAGTCGTTGATTTGGATCCAGAGTGTCGTGGCAATCTCTTCTGGAGAAGTGGAGTATTGCTGCCTCGTCAAAAGTGGAAGAGTAGCGTTAGGTCTACACTTAGGTCTCAGCAAATTCAAAGCTGATTGCGGTATCGTGTTTAAGAGTGATGCTCTTGTGGGCGTTACTACTGCGGGCTGGCGAGGACCGGGGAAAGTCAGGCACGTCGAGGTTCGCCAATTTTTTTGCACGAGGAAGAGCAACGAGGAAACATCAATGTGATCCAAGTAGGAACCCATGATAATCTTGCAGACGCCACATGTTATGTTGGCAGGGACGATATAGCCAGGCACATGCGAGGTACTAAGCAACGCATTGTTAGCGGGAGGCATGAGGTGGCGCCTTCTACGGAGTGTGCCAAGCAACGCCAAGCAATGCCAAACATTGCCAAGCAAGGCCAAGCAATGCCAAGCAACGATAAGGAATACCAGGCAATGTCAAGCAATGTCAAGCAATGCCAAGCAATGCCAAGCAATGCAAAGCAATGCCAAGCAAGGCCAAGCAGCGCCAAGCAATGCCAGGCAATAACAAGCAATGCCAACCCATTCCAAGCGATGCCAAGCAGTGCCAACCAACGCCGAACAATGCCGAGCAATGCCACGCAATGTATGGCAACACCAAGCAATGCCAAACAATACCAAGCAAGGCCAATCAATGCCAAACATGGGCAAACAATGCCAATCCATGCTGAGCGATGCGCCCAGAGATGCGTCCATGCAATCGGGGTTCCCCTAATTGGCGTCGCGCCGGCTTGTTCCAGGTTCGCACTTCGAGTGGCTAAGACGAAGTCCCGGTCTTGACGTGCCTGTCTTCAGATTTCCGTTGCCCAATTCGGTTTCGATGAGTTTCCCCCGTTCCTTCAAGCGGCCCGACTTGGCCGAGGAACGGTGTTTCTACATGGCGTTACGGCTGGGTGAGAAGGTGCAAGTGTTCAGCGGTAGTGTAACACACAGCATTCATAGCAGCTCTCAGAGAAGTGTTTGGCACAGTCTTCTCCAGACCTCTGCATTTTGGTTATAGTATCTTCTTGCTTTCTCAGCAAGAAGCTCCTATTTTATCTTAAGGATGAGTAGGAAACTGTTGTGGAGGAGGAGGATCGAGGATCGATGGCTTGCAGTGGTCTTGGGCGTCCTCCGAGGGCCTTCAGAGAGCCCCGAGGATCTCTCCAAGCAGGTTCTCGAGGTCCTCCTGCGGGATTCCTTTCTCGGTCGCCCTCGCTGTTTGATGCCCTTGCAGGATTTCCGGCACTCACGGTTGTTGCGCGCTGGATCCTGCCATCTTTGTATCTTGGGACGCTTTCGACGACAAGCCGAATCCCTGGCTCGTGGCAGTTGTCCTTTACACTCGCGATAGGTCTGCACATTTTGTGGTTCGTGCGCGTGCATCAAGCAAACATTTTTTGGTGTTGATGTGTTTCTTCGCCTTAGCAGGCACTTGCAGTCATATTGGGCGAGCTACGTTTTTTTGTTTGTTTGTGAGCATTTGTCTCTCTTCTATCTGTTTCATTCTGTGTGCTTGTAACTGTGTTTGCATACTGCTTGTGACAATGTGGTCCGGCCGATGCGCAAGAGTTCTCCTGCGTTGCTTCTTTGGCTCGATGCAGTATCTTGGCAGTATCTCCCCCATGCCTTTTCCCAATGAAAATGCGTCTTCGCGATGCAGGTCCTCAGCATGCTGTGGGTTGCCGTTGCCTAGAAAGAGTGAAAATGCGTCTTGGGTGCCGGCATTGTGTCTCGATGTGGAATGCGCGAAATGCTTTGTGCTCGGAGGCTCGCAGTTTACCTGAGATCGAGAGCTTTAGGATGGCAGGAGTGATGAAACTACTGGGTTGCTTGCCGTCTGGTCGGCCGCAGGCCAATCGCCTCTTGGGCAGCTGAATGTGGTAGGTGGCAGTGAGGCGAAACAAGCGGGGCAATAGCCCGAGGGGCACGATTTGCCTTTCATTTATCTGGCCTTTTGCTCCGCCACGTTTGCTCAGCTCACGACGCTAAATTGCGAAGAGGGAGGCACTCTGCTCAGATCTTGAAAATCTTGCACTTCAGTCGCGGGCTCTTTGCCCGTCATTGTGACCCAGGGCTTGCGATATCTTCTCATCAGCGTGTCCCTTTCGACCTCGCGGCTCCTAGAGGGGGGGCAGCGGACACTACGAAGTTGCCCGTTAAATCTTTTCTCGGGGCGCCTGACCAGGCTTCCTCTTGTGAGTGGTCTGAGTGTTGGCATCAGTGCTTGGGTTGATTCGGCGCCTCCGCATTATCACGTACACTGCGCATTGCAGGTTGCAGTCAAATCCCACATTAGAAATGCGCTGCTTCATCAAGGCCAGCCTTGCATCCTGCTTCTTAGGCCCATCCTGAGCCGAAGCTGACGATCAAGGAGCTTTAAGTTGTAAATGCCGTCCCAAGAGTCTTGCATGCTTACCTTGCATCCTTACTATGGCTTTTGACTGCATGTAGGACTGGTAGCGCAGTACACTCTTGGATCGTCCACGCAAGGGCACATCTGCTCGGACCCGGCAGCACTGGGGACGCAGTCCTCTCCAGTGTGCTCCTCGTCTTTCCTTCAGGATGAACGGGATTTGGGAAGAGGGATGGGGGAGTGGGATGAGGAAGAGCATCAGGATCGAGGGGGAGGAGGGGGATTCTGGGTCGACACGCGAGCACCCCTGACTCCTGGAGGTGTACGGATTGGCATGATGTTCGCGTGTGCCATCGATCGGGGAGGTGGCCCGAGAGCGGACTTGCAGTCAGAGCGTGTCATGCGTTGTGTCTGGCTTGTTGCCCGGCTTCGTGAAGGCTTTCTGCAACGCCGGGTTGCATGAGCATCCTACGTCCCGTGAGTCACCTTTCCTCACTCTTTTGGCCGCAATGTTTTCCGCAGGTCTGTCGATGCTCACTATTGGGCTCCTTTCCCCGGTGGCGATAGTCGTCTTCAACTATGGGGTTCCCATTGAGATCATCGTATTTGGAGCAGCTGCTGCCTCTTACTCTCCCAGTGCGTTGATCTCAATGTTTTGGCAAGTCGTGACTGAATAGTCATCCATGATGTCGCAGGCGGTGCGTCCATGTGAATCTCACTGCCACGAAGGTGTCTACATGTCTGTCTGCTTAGCAGTTGTTGTTTTGAATGCTGTGTATATGTGTGTAATTTACAATGTGTTAAGCGATGCGTTTTTTCTTTTGTTTGTCTTTACAGTTGTCTGACCTTTGTGCGGTGACTCTCTCTCTCTCTCTTTCTCTCTCCCTCTCTCTCCCTTTCTCTATGCTGTACTCTTTTCAGGGCTTTTGTATGGCTCTGCTCTCTTTTTATCTCTCTCTCTCTCTCGCTCGCTATCTCTCTCGCTTCACCTATTCTTTTTCTCTCTCTCTCTCTCTCTCTA